ACCTGAGAGCGGGGCTCCTCTCATGGGGGGTTCACTGTGGGCCCTGGACTGCGCCGGGGGTTCAGTTATACTGAATTCAGTATAAGTCTCTTAGCAAACGGTGTATTATGGATTCTATTGATTTGCGTCTTTTAAAAACTGATACTATGGCCTTGTTCGTGATATTAGTCTAGGTCAAACTGCAACCCGTGGAATTTTTTTTAACCAGTAAAAACTTGAACATTTTTCTTACTGCCCTTGCCTTTAAGAAATAAATGTTTTTGGGGGACATGCAGTTGCTTGGCATAAGAGAAGCGCAGTCTCTTGGTGGCCATTCTGGAGATAAGAAGATTTTTATGATACAAGAATTAATTACATCGGGCGCCTGGGTGGCTCAGTCGGTTAAGCGTCTGCCTTCGGCTCAGGTCATGATTTCAGGGTCCTGGGATCGAGCCCCACATCGGGCTCCCTGCTCCGCGGAAATCCTCCCTCTGCCCCTCCCCCTGCTTGTGCTTTCTCCCTCTCATTCACTCACTCTCTCAAATAATTAAATAAAATCTTAAAAAGAAAAGTAAAGAATTGATTACATCAACCCCTGGCAAACCTCATCTTGGATTGCTCTCGTGTGTGAATCTCATGTTCTCGCCTGGGCTTGGGACTTGTTGGAGCACCTTTTACCTGGCTTCTCCCCCTCCTTTTTTAATTTTAATTTAATTTTTATTTTTTTTTAGATTTTATTTACTTGGAGAGAGAGAGAGAGAAAGAGAGTGAGTGGGAGGGAGAGGAAGAGACAATCTGAGGTAGACTCCATGCTGAGTGCAGAGCCTGACATGGGGCTTGATCTCATGACCTTGAGATCATGACCTGATTCGAAACCAAGAGTTGGACGCTCAGTTGACTGGACCACCCAGGTGCCCCCTCCCGCTCCTTTTTTTTTTTTTTTTTTTTTACAAACAGCTTTGAGATATAATTCACAGGCCATACAGTTCATCTATTTAAAGTGTACATTTCCATGGTATTGGGTATACTTACCTATATATGCAGTTGTCACCACAGTCAACTTAGGAACATTTTCATCACCTTGAAAAGAAACCCCGTATCCTAAAGCATTCGACTCCATCCCTCTATCTCTATCTCTGTCCTGGCCCTAAGCAAACAATAATCTACTTTGTCCCTCGATAGATTTCCCTATTTCCTGGATTCTTTTTTTTTTTTTAAGATTTTATTTATTTATTTGACAGAGAGACACAGTGAGAGAGGGAACACCAGCAGGGGGAGTGGGAGAGGGAGAGGCAGGCTTCCCGCGGAGCAGGGAGCCCGATGCGGGGCTGGATCCCAGGACCCCGGGATCATGACCTGAGCCGAAGGCAGACGCTTAACGACTGAGCCACCCAGGCGCCCCCCTATTTCCTGGATTCTTAAGAAAAGCTGTTCTTTGGCTCTGCTTTGCCTCACTGACTTTTCCCTGTCTCCCATCATGTCTGGCTGAGCCTGACGCCGCAAAGTCATTGACTTCTAGAAAATACTTCGCTTGCCTTGAAGGGGTTCCTTTTGCTTCCTTCCTTGAGCTCTTGCTTCAGAGAGATCGTATATTCCTTTACTGTTTTCAGGTCATTGCCTCAGTGTTTGTTGGACTAATCTGCTTCCGGCCAAATTTTTCTGAAATGTATTTTTCATCAGCTCATTTGTTAGTTCTGTTACGTTCTGTTGTCCTCCTTATTTTGTCTGCATCTGTCCCTCTCTGATTGTTACCCATCTTTCCACGGCTCTATTTCTGTCGACTTCACGAAGAATAGTGTTGTCAGGAAAGGCCAGACATTTCAGTAAAAGTAGGTTGCTAGTGATCATAACGATTGGATGCTACTGATCATTAATATAATAATATTTTTATTAACATGGAAAGATTCCACGGTATTTTTAAACTAGAAAAGGTGTGTAGATGCATCTGTTTCTTTTCCATCTACCAAAAATAGTTTGACAGAAACATATTGTTATTGCTTGAAGATGATTTTCATTTTCTTCCTTAAAATTTTTTGAATAGTCATAACTTTAAAAAAAAATAAGGAGAGTTTACTTTGACTATAAAAAATGGTACTGTTGACACCATTTAAAAAAATATACCGCGCTGAAAAGGAAATAGAACTTTTCTCCTTTTCCTTTTCATTGGAGGTGTATGGTGGGATATGTAGGCTCTTTATGATGAAAACATTTACGAGGGACACCTGGGTGGCTCAGACAGTTAAGCGTCTGCCTTCGGCTCAGGTCATGGTCCCAGGGTCCTGGGATCGAGCCCCACATTGGGCCTCTGCTCAGCAGGGAGCCTGCTTCCCCTCTCCCCAACCCCTCCCCTCACTCATGCTCTCTCTCTCAAATCAATAAATAAAATCTTAAAAAAAAATAAAACGTTTACAAACGACTGACTTGGTACGCTTTACTGAGCGTAAGGGTCTTTGGGTTTTGTATTGGCTCAAATCAGAATTGGACCCCATGCAAATAAGTCTGTGTTTAGTTCATTGTTATGAAAGAAGCCACCGTGGCCGTAAAGGGTTAAAACAAAATGTCCAACAATAACCCTCTACCACCTATGGGTCTAAAACAAAGGGATGATTTATTTATTTGTTTATCTGAGAGGGGGGAGAGAGAGTGCAAGCGGAGGGGCAGAGGGAGAGGGAGAGGATCTCAAGCAGACTCCCCACTCAGCCCTGAGCCCGATGGGCTGAGATCCTGACCTGAGCCGAAATCAAGAGTCAGACACTCAACCAACTGAGCCACCCAGGCGCCCCTAAAACAAAGGGATTAAAAACATCTGCTTTCTCTTTAAACTGTAAATCTCAACACCGAGCTCAGTATGAGGATTGTTAATGTCTTCTTGTCTGTGTTTTCCGGAGAGACTTAGATACCTGCTTGCTTGAGTATGACCGGGTTACGTCATAGGTCCCTGGAGGAAGACCTCCATCTACAAGGCCGCGTGCTGCCACCTCGTGGACCCTCTGTGTATTGCAGTTCCCCACAGAATTTTTAAACTAGAGTGGACTCTGAAGGTGAGGCAATAGAATATACATAAAACTGTGACTCTAAGTCACAAAACCCCAGTGTCACAGGGAAATAAACTTAGGCCCACGATAACTGACTAACCTACCCAGAAGTGCCTAGCTAGTCAGTGACAGGCCTTGCCTTCCTACAAACTGTGAGCAGCCCCAAGCCTTTGCTTTCTTTGTATTTCCTTCTCATTCCGCCCCGCTTCTAAATCACGTCTGCCCTCTTGGATCAGGACAAATACCATCTCTTATGTGAAAGACTTCCCTGTTGGTTACACGTGGTCTGGATTTTTCCCTACCCAGTGCTCTCTCCTTATTTTGCTTTTCACAGAAGACACGGAACTACTTTTTTTTTTTTTTTTTTGAAAATTACTTATTTATTACATTATTCCAGGTGGGACCCATGTAGACCACCTCTTATAATTCGTGATTCACCTCCCGGCTCTATAACTGTGCTGCTCTGTATGCATTAATATCACAGGATTATCTCCCTTAATCCTCACAACGATCCTAAGACGTTATTATTATTATGATTATTTCCATTCTTGGTATTTCCATGCTCGGATGTGAACCTGTTGGTGAGACTCCAGAGCCCATACTCTTAACTGCTTACACCCGGTTATCCTGGACATACTTCACCTTAGACCACCTGTTGCTAATGATTTCCTGTAGGGATGAGTTCCCGGAGTGTCCTGCGCACTCCCGATCACCGTGTTTTCTGAACGTGCCTGATGAAGATCGCTGATGAAAAAAATTTAAGGGGCGCCCGGGTGGCTCAGCCCGTTAAGCGGCTGCCTTCGGCTCAGGTCATGATCTTGGGGTCCTGGGATCGAGCCCCACATCCGGCTCCCTGCTCAGCGGAGAGCCTGTTTCTCCCTCTCCATCTGCCTGCCACTCTGCCTACTTGTGCTCTCTCTCTCTGTCAAATAAATAAATAAAGTCAAAAAAAAAATTTAAGGGGTGCTTCTGAGAAGATTTTGATTCCTGGGGTTTGGGTAGGGCCCAGGAATCTGCATCTGTAATCAGCACCCCTCCTGGTTACATCTGGGATTCTGTCTTATTTAACGCTCATCGGAGTTCATTGTGACTCCTGTTTTTCAGTGTCTTCACGGAGCCATAAAAATCCACGAGGAAAGGGGTCCCGTGGCCACTCTGTCCCCACCCAGCATCAAATACCATGTGACACACGGATGCACACACCATTGGCTGAAGGAACAGCATCTGTTTTAATCCCCAACTTGATTATAAGCTCCTTGTGGTCAGATGACCTTGGAGTCCACTGGTTTTGGCTTGGTTCCCCGTTTGGCTGCTGGGGTAAAAGGGTGACGCTTGGGTAGACCAGGGAGTTTCAAGACTGGAAGGGACCTCGGGGCTCATTGCTTCTTCCACACTGACTTTATTATTATTTTTTTTAAATATTTTTTATTTATTTATTTGACAGAGAGAGACACAGCGAGAGGGGGAACACAAGCAGGGGGAGTGGGAGAGGGAGAAGCAGACTCCCCGCCGAGCAGGGAGCCCGATGCGGGGCTCGATCCCAGGACCCTGGGATCATGACCTGAGCCGAAGGCAGACGCTCAAGAACTGAGCCCCCCAGGCGCCCCCACACTGACTTTAGAGATGAGGACTTTCAGATGGGATCTGCCTTCTACACGATCACACACTTTCGTGGGGACCACACAGGAGAAAGTGTGGCTGAGTAAAAGGCACCTTTCAAATATCCTTATTGTCTTGATTTCATGTTTCCTACACATTTATTTATTATTCATTTATTTATTTTAAAATACTTATTTATTTGAGGGGGGGAGGGGCAGAGGGAGAAGGAGAGAGAGAATCCAAAGTAGGCCTCATGCTCAGCACAGAACCCCCGAGGGGCTCGGTCCCACGACAGCAAGATCCTGACCTGAGCCAAAACCAAGA